CAGTGAAAGTGCTGCCCTTACTTCTGGGCAGGTAGTGCACGTCCTACCATAGCAGGGAAAGGAGCGATCACTTGTCTTACATCCAACTATCACACACTCTGGTTTCAGCTCATCGCTTGCCATCCTTCAGAGTACCATACTGACCCCATTTCCTCCTCTTGTCTCCTGTTCCTAACCCTCTGAACCTTGTCTTTGGGTAAATGCTGCCCTTTGACCTTCAGTGGTTGAATATTCTACCACAGGCGTCAGTTCTGTTTCAGACCTGAAGGCTGACTAAGAGCTAGATGCTCTGGAGTTCCACCTGTCTCTGTTTGACCAGTAAGCCTGGTCATGGTGATGATTTTGAGGGTTGTTTTGGGGTTTTTTGTGGGGGTTTTTTTGCATTTTTCTTCAGAGCTTTCTAATATCCTTTTCAGAGCAGTTAATACTGATAGCTGTGACCAACTTGTTTTTCTTGCCTCAGAATTGTGCTAACTGATGCTTGCAGTGCCCAATAGTCCACTGGACTAATTGTTTCCACATGTCCTTTGATTTCTACCATTCTTCTTTGCTCTACCAGAGAAAGGCCGTGGTTGTGTGTGTATGCTGCCCACAGGACTTGTGCGTTTGAAACTAACTTGTTTATCACAAAAGCACCCAAGGCAGTTTCACCTTTACTTTTAGACCTTCCTCCCCACTCAGACGAATGCTTAGGTCTGATTGGCAAAGAATCTGGACAGACTTTTAAAGGTTGTAACTCTCTCTTTCATTTTAACTGTATTTATTTTTTCCTGGATTTACGCCCTTTGGTTTGTGGAGCAAACACATACAAAGAAGAACATCGTCTATGCAATCGCACAGCCCACCCCATCAAATCGGTGACAATACCGCAATGAACCCTCCGTATATGAGGTTCTGTTTTTGTTATTTTTTTCTTCTTCTTCCCATCCCCTCTCCTTTCTTATTTTTCTGACCCTTCCCTCGGCTCCTCCCCACTACCCACAGTCCTGGTCTTATCATAGTCTTTAAAGTTTTATCCATTGGTGTGAAAATCATTTTGCTTTATAATAATGGTGTCATAAAATATTTATCTTTATGAGACTAACTAACTTTGCTGAGCATAGTATTGTCTTATTTTGTCCATGTTTGACAGACTTATTATGTTGTTAAGGATGCATAATATCTCATTTGAATCCATAATGGAATGCATTATGGATTCAAAATATTCCAATATGAAGAATATGGCATCATGTTTGGAGGAAGGCCTATTAACAACCTGTGATACGAAGATAATATAACCTTGGTTGCTGAAAGTGAAAAGAATTTGAAGCACTTGATGAAGATCAAAGATTGCAGTCTTCAGTATGGATGACACGTCCATGTAAAAATGACCAGCATCCTCACAACTGGACCAGTAGATAACATCATGATAAATGGAGAAAAGGTTGGAGTTGTCAAGGATTCCACTTCCATACATAACCGGTGCTCATGGAAGCAGCAGTCAAGAGATCAAAAGATGTGCTGCATTAGGTAAATCTGCACCACAAGACCATTTTAGAATATTAAAAGACAAGGATGCTTCTTTGAGGACTAAGGTGCACCCGACTCAAGCCATGGTATTATTCATGACCTCATATGCATATCAAAGTTAGACACTGACTAACGAAGACTGAAGAAGAATCGTGCATTTGAATGCTGGTGTGGGAGAGTGGCCAAAGCCCCACGGACAGCTAAAAGGACAAACGGATCTGTCTTGGAAGAAGTAAGGCCAATGCTCCTTGGAGGCAAGGATGGCGAGACTGGTCCCAGGAGAAGGATATCACTCCTGGTAAAGTGGGGAGGGTGGCATTGAAGGAGAAGAAGGCCCTCAACTAGTGAATTGGCACCATGCCTGCAACGACGGGCTCAGTCAGGGGAACGTTGTGA